TAGTGTCAAATATAATGTCGAACCACCCTTTGCAGCTGTAGCAGCTTTGTGCAGGTTTATTAGAGTTTTTGAACATTCTTCCACAAGCGCAGGTGCCTGCCTCGCAGTCTCCGCTCGAATTCATCCCAGAAGTGTTCTGTCGGCCTGAGTACAGGACTAGGACTCTGTGCAGGCCCGTCAGGTTGTTCCACACCAAACTCGCTCATCCATGCCTTTGTGGACCTTGCTTTGTGCACAGTCGTGTTGGAACAGGAAATAATAATCAGTCTGAGACAAAACACAGGATTACATTTGATCTCTCTACCAACTTTGAGTTGGTAGTTTCTGCATTAATGTAGGAGTAATGGAGAGGTAACCAGTGAGGAAGCCAGATGGGATGTTTGGTTTTCTGGCAAGAAGAGAAACAAAATCCTGGCATTTAGTTTCAAACTGAAAAAACAAAAGAATGGTTTCTTTTTGTGCATGTTGTAAAAACAGATGAAAGCAAATTAAAGTCCAAATTATTTCAGCAGCAGCTGAAAATCGTCCAGCACAATGAGATTAAGCTCAAATATTGGTCACCATGCAGAAACAAATGGATCAAAGACCTTAGTTCCTCTGAGCAGCTTTATCCACCAGGACTGTGTTTTTGCATTTATATTCTGATCAGCTGATCTGATCTGTTGTCCTGTTTTTTTTTGGAAATTGTGTGGAGATTACAGGCCTGTTTATCAGACTAATGATGCGATCCTTACTGTCCCAGCTCGTCTATAAAATCCTGGAAATACCATTTTTATGTTGCTGCTCAGTGAACTGTAGTGTGTAACACAGTCTGTGCCAACAGGAAATGTCCCGGTGGTCTGCGGACGCACAGTGAGACCATCTGGCTGACTGGACCTGAACACAACACTCTGTGTCACTGCACACACACTGACACATCTATCAAAGGACAGGTATCTCAACTCTGTTGCTGTCCTGAATATTTTCACCATTTTTTCTCTCATTGTTAACATGAACACGAGTTAAGTGAAGATCATGGGATGGAAAGAACCATAAAATCTCATCCCATCCCTTACTGATGAAATCCTGGTCAAATCTAGTAAACTAACTGCTGAAGATTGCAGGACATTATATCCCTTCTTCACTCGTGGGCATCAATGACGCTGGTTTGCTCTTTAGATCAGAGACGGCACCGCATACTTCAACAGGGAAGAGCGGCAGATGATGGACGTCAGAGGTTTAAACATGAGGTTTCGCTTCTCTGCTGAGGACTCTAATCTGTGACCTAAAGTCTGGATCAGCATAATCTGTAGATGCTGTTTGAGAGACGATCACACATTTAACAGTTTCCATCTTTTCATTTCTGTATGTTAATGGGTTTTTTTCCATTCACTTTTTTATTCTTTATGATTATTACTTTTTTAAATTTCGCCTGGGAAACCTCTCATTCAGATTAAAGCCTCTGATTTTAGGTTTACACACAAAGAAAAACCCATCAGTGTCTCAGCGGGACAACAAAAACTGCATGAAACAAACAGGAATATGCTTTGGGTTAGGGAGTAACTCTTGCTCTGTGTGTTACCTTGTAAACATCTCGGGGTCAGTTATGAATATTACATTTGAAATGATAAATATTTGCCAGTTTTATGGATAATTGTCATCTTATATTTGAAGCATAATCTCAGCTCTTCAATAAGTATCAATCTTTTCTAATCTGTTCATTTCCAGTTAGAATAAAAAAGCTCTCCAAGCTGTTCTGTTTGTGTGCTCTGTAGAATTCCTTCACCCAGCGTGACTCAACAATGCTGGGATACATGTGGCCTAAAAAGTCGTCTCAGTAATGCGAATTATATCTTTAAATAGCTGAAAAGCATCCAGATGTGCTCATTTGTTGAACTAAAAAGTTGACCATAGTAAATAAACTTTTAAAAATAACTCAAACCACAAACAAAGTAATGAACACGTGGGCACGTAAAGCACTGCGGTCTTTAAATCCAGACCCTTGAATGTGACACAACCACACCGACTGGGATTTTATACCTTTATTCAAAGCTACAACTCCTCAGAAAAACACATTTCCTCGTGCTTTAAACAAGAGTATGAATATAAAAATGAAAACTTGGGACTGTATGAAAGAAAGACGTAAACGCCTTAAACCTGCTTTCTGATGACAAGCAGAGGGCGGCGACTGTGAAAAGCTGTCTGATTGGATGAAATGTCTATGAGACTCTTCCTGATATTGCCAATCTCAGGAATCGCTGTTCTGGTGACTTTATGTTATGTGTCCATCTTTTATATACAGTTGATGTGGTGTGAGTCAGACGCCCCCGCGGGCTGCGATACGTAACACAGAGCATCTTTAGCCGGCGTGGTAATAAAACTTTAATAAAACTGAAGCAACAGGTTGGATTAAAGACACATCAGCGTTAAGTTTTTCAGAGAGTAACGAGACGCTGAAGGAAAAACTGAAAATAACATGAAACGAACAACTGTTTTCCTGGAAAGTTCCACTTTCAAGCCATTCTATCAAAATAAAATCTACAGCTATATACAGTTAGCTTCTTGTTCAAGAATATAAAACTTCATTCAGACATATGTACATTTTAAAGCTGCTGGGGTTTCTTAATCTAACAGCTGTTTGCTTTAATGGCAGACTGCACCAACAACGGCAAAAAGCACCAGCAGTTTTCTCCATCTGAATATGATTCTGTGCGGGACAGTCTGGTTCAGGACTCATACATATAAAACTTACTATGAGCCAGCTGTTAGAAAATAAAAAGCCGGGGACATACTCTGCTTTTCCTTATTTCCAGGGCCAGCAGTGGAAGTTCATGTTTAACATGAAGAACAATTCGCTGTGAGCCCACATATCAGGCAGCTTTTTTTCTATCCCTGGATCTGTATGATGTCACAGAAAGAGGATATTACTAATATGGTCATCTCAGGCACATAAGCCCCACCCACCTGCTGTCCAAATCTTCTATTTAAGAGGAGCAACCAATTAGGAAAGAGTAGCCTTAAAGGCAGACGAGCTAAAACAGTTTCAGAGCAGATGAATTATTAACTGTGAATTAAGCAAAGCTACCACTGTAGAGTCCAGAATAAAAAACATATCATGCTGTTCACAACCCAAGATACTGCGTATTTGAACAAACAAATAAATGCAGAAAAGCAGATAAATGAGGACAGGAGGAGGGGAAGAAAACTGCTCCCTCAATGAGGCTTTTAACAGAGAAACACCAACAGGACGCTAAAGCTGACACTCAGTCTGTCACCACAACCTCCTCTGGGTGACCTCTCACAGCTCGAGCAAGCAGTGAATCATACCATGAATGAATGAATTCCTCCTGCAAAATGATTCCCAGAATTTCCCCAAATAACAGAACTGAATGTGATCGGCTCTGCAGTTAGCTGTTTACATCCATTTAAACATGCGTGTTTTTAAACCCTGTTTTTCTGGAAGCATTTAGTTTGTTGGACTCTTGTAGTGCAAACAGCGCTCAGCAGAGGTGAGAAACGACAGATCAGTACAAAGAGCTACTGTTTCTGTGTCTTTATAAGTGGTTCACACCATTTGGTGTCGAGTTTTTGTGCTTTCAAAAGATATATTTTTTGATTGTGAATGAGTCAAAAATGCAGGAGCAGAATTTTTAGTTGTCTGAAACGGTTAAACTGACTGCATCAACTTCAAATTAGCAACTGAAACAGCTCGTGAAAGGAAAACCTCAGGATCTGTTAACCTGCGGCTGAGTTTTCCATCTTCCTTCTCCCCGTCTGCTGGTGGCAGTGGGCTAAGTAGGTATTCCAGGCATGGACTCCCTCTGCAACAGTTTCATGACCGGGCTCCTTTAGACGTGGAGGTGCAGCGACTACTCTGAGGTCCCTCGGGGACGCCACAGCCCCTCGTCCACTCTACGGCTGAGCCCACACGTTCTTTGAAGGGAAACTTTCAGCTGCATGTACCTGTGACATCATTCCTTCAGTCAAAGGCCAGGAACAAACCATGGCCCGTGGGACAGATCAAGGCCATTGCTCACCACTTTGAGTCCCCAGTAGGTTTTGCCTGGTTGTTGCTGCAGTCTGCACAGTGATGACCTCCTGCATCTTTGTTGACTGGTTCAGAGCTTTACGCACATGAAAACTGAACCATATTCAAGATTTGTATAACACCAGCCTAAACATGCCTCACTGTTCAGTGTGGTACAAAGCCCGCTGCTCCATTCTGGGTTTAAATTATTACAGAAGACAAAAACGCTTGGAATCAGTCCAATGTTGAGCAAAAACGCTGAAACTGCTGCAGAGTCCCGCAGATGCTCACGAGTCGTCATAATCAGTCGTGACTTTACACAAATGTGTAAACGTCTCTTCATGCTGGGAGTGACAAATAAACTAAAGGTGGGCCTCACACGGGACATAATGATTATTGATCAATGATTAATTAACCTGTGGTGCTGCCCCACCCCAGCGGTGATGACATCAGTCATCAGGAACCACACAGAGGGTGGATACAACAATGAAGCAGTGACTTTCAAAATAAAAGTAAGGGATATGTCCTGCAGTAAATTAGTCAGATTAAATATGTGTGGGTAGGAAAATAAGCTGCTTTTTGAAGGCTATCCTTCCTGAGGAACACTGAAGCTGTTTTGTTGTTGCTCCACATCGCACTGATTCCTAACATTAAAAAAAAGGAACCAATGATTTAAAAATAATACAGCTTGCCTTTAAGTCAGCTTGCCTTTAAGTCAGCTTGCCTTTAAGTCAGCTTGCCTTTAAGTCAGCTTGCCTTTAAGTCAGCTTGTAGCGTTCTTCCTCTCCTCATTGGTGAATAAAACGATGAAAAAAAGAGAGAGAGAGGAGCTCTGAGAGCTGCTGCGACTAACTAGCACTAGTTCAACTGGCAGTTAGTGGTCACCAACCCTTGTAAAACCCTCCAAGAGTCTTTAAAACAAACAATTATTAGTACTGGCAATATTAGTACAATTAGAAAATATACGA